TGGTCTCTCTTCTCCCGCTCTTCCTCTCCTCTTGCCCTTCTGCCCTATAACAGCCAGATGATCTTATTGAAGTATAAATCAGATAACATACCTGTTTCTAGTGCAATGAATTCCCATTGCACTTGGCAAAAAAAAATTCTTATGTTGAGTTACAAGACTTAATAGGATATGGCTCCTACATCTGTCCCTCTCCAAACTTATCACTGTGCACACACATTGTAGACGTCACCCCATACACCCTTCTTTCCCATACAGGCCACTCTTGCCTCTGACTATTTCAAACTGGGCATGCTCCTTCAGGCCTCAGATATTTTACACTTATTGTTCCTGACTCCTGGAATTCTCTGCTGCCTCATTTTCCTGTGGTTGGTCCCTTTCATTCAGGTATTGATTTAAATGTCTTAGAGAAAATTTCCCTAACCACTCTACTTAAAAACACCCTACCCTTCTGCACCTACCTTACAATTTTGTATGTGGTTGCGCCAAACTTTAGGATTGAAGAAATTGCTATTAATTACAAAGATTTAAGAATTATCTTTATTTTTCTTATTTACCAAAAATATTGTAATAACTCTGGTGTTTTTTAAAGCCAAGACTACTTTTATAGGGGAAGAAATACAAAAATATACATTAAAATAAGTATATCGCTTAATAAATTATTATAAATGAAATGTCTGAGAAACCAGCACCCTGGTCAGGAAGTAGAACATAGCCATCTCCCCCGCCAAAAAGTCCTCACATGCCTCTTTCCAACCACAACCCCATTCTTTCCCTCTGTAGGTAACTGCCATCCTGACTTTTATTATAACAAACTTCTTTGCTTATCTTTTAGTTTTAGCACTTGAGTATGCATCCATAATTTAGTGTCATTTTGTCTGCTTTTGAACTTATAGAATCATACGATATGTATTCTTTTATGTTTACTTCATTTGTTTAATATTACTTTTTTAAGATGAAACCATGTTGCCCTAGGTCGCTATAGTTCACTCATTTAGTTTGGTGTTTAGTATTCCATTGAATGAATATACAACAACTTATTTGTCCATTATATGTTGATGGATGTTTGGGTTACTTCATTTGGGCTATTAGTATTGCTCTGAAGATTCTTGTACAGCTAACCTCACACATATATGCACACATTTCTGTAAGGTACATACCTAAAAGCAGAAATGCTGGGGTATAGGGTACAGAATTGTCAGTTTTTCTAGATTATGCCAAACTGTTTGTTCAAAGTAATTGGGTTGATTTATACTCCTGCCAATGGTGTATCAGTGTTGCCATTGCTCCACTTCTTTGCCAACTCTTGTTATTATCCATCTTTTACATTTTAGCTATTCTAGTGGGTGGCTAGTGGTCTCATTGTGGTTTAAATTTACATTTCCCCTGATTACTAATGAGGTTGAGCACCTCTGCATACAATTTTTGGCCATTTGGATAGTCTCAGTTGTGAAATAGCTGTTCAAGATTCTTTTGCCCATTTTTCTATTGGGTTGTATATTTCTTTTTAATATTCTGGAAATGAGTCCTATATCAATTAAATGTGTTCAAATACCTTTTCCCATTCTGTGGTTTGCCTTCCCATTATCTTTAATGATATCTTTTGATGAACAGGAGTTCTTAATTTTAATCAAGTCCAATTTATCAATATTTTCTGTTTAAGATTATTGCTTTTGTGTCCTGTTTAAAACTAGGATCTGAAGGTCAAGAAAATATATTTCTATATTTTTTTTCTAAAATACTTTTGCCTTTCACATTTTGGTCTGTAATCCATCTGCAATTAATCTTGGTTATGACATGAAGTAGGAGCAAAATTTAATATTTTTTCCCTGTGGGTGCTCAATTGTTCCAGGACCGTGTATTGAAAAGACTGTCCTTTCCAAGTGTGATTCCTATAACATCCCCCACCCCATTTAACTCACCTTTAACTCACCTATTGAGCTTGGCAGAAGCAGATGAGCCTCAGAGAATGACTGTAGACTATCAAATGTAAGTAGGTAATTGACTCCAATGACAGTTGCTATTCCAGATGTGGTCTTACACTGCAGCAAATCCACATTGCCCTTGATACTTGGTGTCTAGCTTTTGATCTGGCACATACTTTTCCTCTGTATCAATTTGCAAAGACCACAAGATGCGATTTGTTTTTACCTAGCAAACTTTCCCTTCAGGACTGTATCTTACTTGAGGACTATATCAACTCGCTGGCTCTGTGTTATACTTCAGTATTTAAGGACTTCATTTATGTTAACATCCCACCGAACATCATGGCGATTGGACCTGGTGCACAGAAAGTAGCAAGTCCTCTAAATGCCTTATCAGGAGGGAGATAAAAACCCATCAAAATTCAGAAGCCCACCAGCATGGTGAAGTTTTGAGGGGTCCAGTGTTTTGAGGTATATCCCAGGACATGCCAAGGTAAAATCTAAGTTGCTTCACCTTGTACTCCCACCATTAAGGTACAATGCTTCCTAGGCATCTTTGGATTCTGAACGTGATTTTCTGCCTCACATTTCTGCCTTTACTTGGAGTTGCCTGTTTTGAGTGGGGCCCAGAGCAAGAAAAGCCTGCAGATCCAGATTGCAGTAAAAGCTGCCCTGCTACTTGGACCTTAGGACCCAGAAGACCCAGTGATGCTCAGTGTAGCTATGGTCCGTGGTGATGCTGTGTGGAGCCCCTCACAAGAACAATAGAACTTTAGGATTTAACATCAAAGCCTTGCTCCCTTCCGTAGATAATTAACCTTCTCTTGAAAAAGAGCTCCTAGCTTGCTAGTGGATCTTAGATGAGATTGAACACTTGACCATGGGGCACCAATTGACCATGTGACCTGAGCTACCTATCATGAACTGGGTTTTAGTTCATCCATGAAATCATAAAGTTGGCACATAAAATGAAGTGATGTGTACAAGATCAGGCTTAAGCAAGCTGCATGATCAAGTGGCCCAGATGCCTATAGCAACTACTCCTGCACAGTTGCTTCTTCCTCAGTCCACACCTATGGTGTCACAGGGAGTACCCATAACTTGTTAACTGAAGAAGAAAGAACTCAGGCCTAGAATATGGATCATTCTTCACAATACACTTCAGCAATTACCATTCCAATCTAGACTGCCTCTGAAAAGTAGAGAAGAGACATTTCAGTGGACAGAACTTTGAGCGGTACTTCTGATTGTCTACTTTATCTAAGTAAAGAGATGTCCACAGGTGTAGATCTACAGCATGTCATGAGTAGTAGCTAATGGGTTGGCCAGGTAGTCAGGGACTTTGAAAGAATAAGGTCAGAAGACTAATGACAAGATCTGGGGCAGAGGCATGTGAATAGACCTCTCAGGATGAGCACAGAATATGAGGATATTTGTGTCCCAGGTGATGTTTATCAAAGGGCAACCACTCAGAGAAAGCCTTCATTGATCAAATGGACAGGCTGACTCATCCTGTGGCTGTCAGTCACCCTCTTTCCCTAGCATCCCAGTGCTTGCTCAGCTGGCTCATGTACAAAGTAAATATGGCAGCAGGGAGGGAGGTTATACATGGACCCAGTAACATGAAATTCCTGTCACCAACACTGATCTTGCTATTGTCCCTGCTGAGTGCCTAACTTGCTAAGAACAGAGCCCAGTGCTGAGCCACCAGTGGGGCCTCGCCTCCTGGGAGACACCAGCCACCTAGTGGCTAGTTAATTATACTGGATCCCTTCTGTAGTGGAAGGGCCAGCAATTTGTCCTCGTGAAAATACTGATTCTGGATATGAATCCAAAGTCCCTTCCTATAATACTACCAATCATGATCTTACAGACATGGTATCTCTCACAATACAACTTCTAAATAAGAAATTCATTTCCCAACAAAAGAAATGTATCAGTGGGCTCATGACTATGAATTTCATAGGTCTTTCCATGTACCAAATCACCCAGAAGTGGCTGGCTTGCTAGAACAATATAATGACCTACTAAAACCAGTTATTAGGCCTGACAAGAACTATGTCAGGAGCCAGGGGATTCTCTGGGTTGCCTCTTAATAATTCTCTTGTTCAATAGTGAAAGTTAATAAGCAACCCAACTACTAAGGACTCAGATCCTTCCAGAATGAAGATTCAGCCACCCTACTAGGTAAAGAGCCATGACCAGCTAAAGTGCTAGCCAAGGGCAAAGAAAAATGGAGTAGAGAAAGAAATTATAAACATTAACTACAGCTTCATGACTAGTTATAGAAATAAGTACCAAAGTACTTATGCAAATTTGCTTCATAGCTTGTTCTATATATCTTCGTGTATATTAACTATTTTTTTCCTTCCCTCATCCCCTAAAAAGTTATATAAGAAATGGTGGTGGTAGTGAACTTGACAGTTTAATCTTCCGGTTACAGCATATCCAGGTGGGATTGTGCTTGAACTAGAAGAATTAACACCAGTAAGTAATAATAACTGACGGGATTTTATTTCTCCCCTTTGGGAGGAGGTGAGAGTTTCTTCATTTGTACAAAAGATAGTTAAATATGCATAGACAGAAGAATAAAACTGTTGTTGTTGTATAGAAATTTAAATATAGGTAGAAGCGAGTGCATGGGTGCTTATAGCTAAAAGGGAAGGTTGTGCTGGTTACTCACTGTAGGCACTCAGCTCCCTCTCCCTTCTCTTCACACACACACACACACACCCCCATCCTCCTGTATTCTGCTCTGTTCTCCCAGGGTTGGGATATGCAAACCAAATTTCCCAGACTTCTTTGCCAGCTGGATTCCTGTTAGGTTTGGTCAATAGGAGGCACTGCAGAGAGGTCAGAAGGCAGCACAGGTTCCAGTACCGTGGTTGTTGTTGGCAGTTGCTGCAGTGGCAGCAGGGGTGGAGAGATTCTGAACTCTAACAGACCAGAGGGAGTACCTACCAGCAACTTTAGCTCTGGTCCAAGCAGGACCATTTGAGCAGATCTAGCACCGACTACAACAGTCTCCAATGGTGCAGCAGCAGGCACAGGCTCTCAGCAGTTCCTGAGCTCTGAGTATGTCATGCTCTCCTCCTTTTCTTTTCTGTCATCCAGCCCCATTCCATCTCCTTTTTGCTCTTCCAGATTTTGCTAATTCGTAACCAATTCCTGCTTTAACTTTACTGTTTGAAATACCTAGGCTGGTTTCTGATTTCCTAATTGGACTTTAACTAATTAACCATCCCTTGAATTGTTGCATTTTTCAGTTCTAGAACTCCTATTTGTTTTGTTTTTGTTTTGTTGTTTTTCAAATATGCCATGTCACCTTTTACAGTTTCTAATTCCAGTTTCAAGTTTGACTTCTACCTCTATGAACATATTAAACATAACTGTTTCATGATCTATGTCTGATAATTCCAGCATCTGGAGTCCCCTGGGTCTATTTCTGTTGTCTGTTGTTTCTGCTGTTTCTCACTCCTAGTATCTTATCTCTTCATGAGTCCAGTTACCTCTGATTGTTTGCTGGATATTGAATTTAAAAATTATTCAAAGACAAAATTTGACACCTAGGATGATGTTATCTCCCTCCAAAGATTTGAAGGATATGAGAGCTTTAGAATCATGGATTATCTTAATCCAAGTTCAAAGTTTAAGACCTTCTACACTTAACAGAATCCTCAAATTTTAGCTATAATCCAGGACAACTGGTTTATATGCAGTTCACTCTTACTCCTACAGTGTAGCTTTCCAGGAGTCCCACTCTTGGCCCCACCTCCACTATCTTCCAGAAGTCCTAATTATCTTTTCATAAATACCTCATGTTGAAAAGAAAGCATCCGAGTTTGAGGCAAAAGTATCAACGGAAACAATTAAGATTCTCTTCCTTTAATACTAAAATTAAACAAACACCAAAGCCTTTTGTCATATAATTTTAAACTTTTTTATCCAGAGATAAAATTAAATTTATATAAATCTCTAACACTGTCAAGATTAGTTTTGCATTCTGGTGTGTATATTTGTGAAAGACTTAAATGTAAACATCCAAGAAAGTAATAATAACCAATACTTGTTTTTAATGTAATTTTAGCAGAAAGAAATTTAAGTTGGAGAAAGTCATTACTAACACTCAGTTTTACCTGATTCAAGCTCTTCACTAGGGGTAGAGTCAAATTTGAAGATAAAAGTTTGGAGGAGTACCATAAAGCATGAAGTAGAAAACAATCGAGCAGAGAAGAGTCAAGGAAAAGTAGAGGAGTAGCAGTTCTGTTGTGATAAAATTCAGACCCAACCTCCTCCCACTACTATTGTTACAACCATGATGGCGATAACTTTTAACATCATTATTTCACAAATAAAATGAAGGAGATAATAATGACCAGTTCCAAATTTTCAAGCCTATTTTCAGTTTTGCATGCCAGTAGGGTAGCTCCTCCTTGCCATACGTTGTTCCCATAGAACAACCTAACTACACTTACCAGTTCTCCAGGAAAAAAATCATACACACCGTGGAAGGAGATAAAATGAATCAAAATCCCCTCATTAATAGAAACCCATAAAATGATCAACAGGTAGGCATAATTTAATTCCCAGGGTGCCTGAAAATGAGACAATCAGATTGACCTGCCATGGACACAGAGCAGCACTGTCAAGAAGCACTGTTCGGCGTGCCCAGTGTTTCCTCACTTACCTCTCCCAGCAGTCATAATTTCCTAATGCCATCACTGTACTTCATAGACTGCAGTCAGAGGGATCTCCTTGGCCTTTCTTCCATCACTTGGTCCCTTATTTTAGAAGCACAGGTGGCTTCATGCACACAAATATCCTTTCTCAAACAGAGATAGCCGCTTACACTTTTGTTACAGATTTTAATACAAGCTTTTATTTTATGGCTTCTTCTCTCCTTAGGTCATGATAAATACACTTTAAGATCATCATACTTCAACAAATTTCATAAAACAAAAATAGTACCTCTATATAATTTTCTCCATGCAGCAAGCCAAGTTCATTTTGTATGAAACATTTTTCCCCTTGTAAAACTAGAAGGTAAATTTTTCAAAAAAAGAGTTTTAATTTAAATTGATTCTCCAGTCCTAGCAAGTACCACGCTATTCTGGGTCCCCAAAGAAAGCAAGTGTAAATCAAGTTCTATAGAACGTCTTTGGTTTGTATTTAAACTAACGATTCATGCAATTCCACAAAGAAATCAGTGTTATATTTTTCTTAACATTCAACTTAAAACATTAGACATAATAAGCTGAATGGGGGAAAATCGTGATCAAATGCTAAAAACGTAAACATGAAGAAAAGTAAACATGAAAACAAATCTCTTTTAAAAATTCATTTAATTACAAGAAAATCAGCCAGAAAATTGCACAGTTCCAAACAAATCCTCTACATAAACACAAGGGCTCGTTTACCATCATCTTTTTATATTTATCTTCCAGATAACATTCCATCTATTGAACCTGGCCTTTACTGGCAAAAATTAGAATACATGGATGTTTTTACTATTCAATATTCCATACACAGAATTGGCTTTTGTTTCTAAGTTAAGATGGTGTCTATCATTTTGCTTCGGTTTGCTTCAAATTTTAAAATTGTTCCCTTGTGAGGATTTCAATTAGCCACTCCCAAAATCCGATGCAAAAAACAAACAAAAAAAACAGCTGTTTTACTAAATGATTCCTGTCTTCCACTTCATTTCACCAGCCCAAGTACAAATTCAGAGAAAAGCTTCTCAAGTCCTGCAGTTTCAAATTCCTTTTGTAACTCATCCAACGATGAATACTCTTTGACTTCAAATGCCAGAAACCTGCATTATACAAGAGAAACTCATGAATATGCCGAGATTTGTCAGAGTATAATTATCGATTCAGTTGCTTTTCCATCTGCAATAGTACTAAATTATACCTTTTGTGTTCTGTCTGTACTTTTGTTTCAACCAGTACACTAATCATTTTCTCTCTGCATTTCTTTCCACTTGAGTCCACATCTACTTTGGAGGTTTTCTGAAGAATCAGGTACTCCTAAATGATAAATCAGTATGTTAAATATATATCTTACTCCGAATCTCAAAGTCCTAGTTTTAAAGGAGCCCTAAACCTGCAGGCTTATTTTCATGCTTAAAGAATACTCTCTTTCTGGGTCAAGCAGTAAGAAAGTTACACCGTGTTTTTACATACTTGGCAGCATGACGTACTGGTGAATGCAGGAGTAAAGAAGGATGTCGTCAAGCTATGCAGGTTTAAATCTGGACTGGACAGCCCACTAGGTCTGATTCTGGGCTGGTTACCTAAACCCTCTGTGCCTCAGTAACCTACTCCATACACAATACTCATAACAGCACCTACCTTATGGGAAGTTGTGATGATTAAATGAACTAATGCTTGCCTGGCACACATTGCTATAGCACGCTGAAGAGTACTGGCTACTGTCATTATTACTACTACGTCAGTGTCTGCATGAAGTTAACAGGCACACAGCACTTACCATTCCAAATTGACGGCATCTATAAATATGTACCTGTAATTCTCAATCCTGATATATAATCTTATAAAAATTTAACACAGATCTTTATATTAAATGGCATTTTAGGGACAGCTAATAAAAAATAAAGAATTCTTTAAAAAGTACAGTTTCTCTACATTAGCAGAGTTCTAGTCATATGAATAAATACTTGTTAATTAATTGATGGATCCAATCTGAGTAACAACATCTGTGAAACAGCTGCACTTACCCTAACATGCATGACTGAGCTGGCTTAAAGAAAAATCCAAATCTTTTGGGGAAATATGAGCAAGGAAATTAATTTGTATTCATTTTGTCAGCCAGCATTTTACCCAAAAGGATCCAGTTTTATAGATATACTACAAATCACCTGAAAATATGTGGTTCCTTGGTCAGAACCCAATCTAGGACCTATATGAAATTTGAATTATTTGTTGTATCTATATGCTATAACCCAGTACTAATCTGGTTAACCAAATGCCAAACTAGTTTTGTGATAAGAGCCAGTCATGAAAAAGCTAGGTAGTTAGTCTACAAATCTTTAAGATTATAAGTTGTGCAAGTTAAATCTGTTTAAATAAATCCAATCGTAATTATTCTCGAGCCAACACATCTGAAAGCATAAAACCTATTAAATGATTTGTAGCTCTTTTAAGATTTAAACTATAATAAGCAGCTTTCCTCGTCTGGTCCCACATAAAACAGGTCAGATGAGTTTAAAATGAGAACTTGAAAAATCTGAAGATGATGATTTTGAAAGCAGCTGCTGAGACAAGTCAGATGGAAACAAGTTAGGGAGGAGGTGACAAGCTGACAGCCCTAATGATTCTACTTCTACTCACACGAAATCCTGGTTAGCAGGGACCAGCTCCTCTTTCCAGGTATTATAGATACCAAATGAAGTGTCAGAATGTATTTTTAACTGCTAAAAAGTTAAAATTTTTGCAGACTACCCACAAATATACCCCTTACACTGTCTAACTAAGGAAAGAAAGAAAAATAGGCATGAACTTTTAGTGCACATTTATGAAGTTGAGGCTCCAAGCTAATTACAGAAACAAACACTCATGCACCACAGAGATGGTTTTCATAAGCTATCATTTTCATTAAGTGGCATGATTTTTTAGATATAATCTTATACTTATTCTTCAAGCTTTGCAGGTTTATAGTTGTCATTAGAAGTTAAAGACATTCTTAAAATAGAAAATGAAGATCCATTAACATGGTAATGGTAAAAGGAGAAACATCTTAATGATTAATCTGTCCCATTGTTATAAAACACACTTACAGAGACACCATTTTAGCAGAAAATAGCCAAATTTATATTCAACATTAAACTTTTTGGCACCTTGATGTTATTTCTGTCTCCTTGTAGTAAAATCAGTATTATTTTACCCATGAACATCAGTCTTCCTGTCAGCCTTAAATTGGAAGCCCACTTCTCCACAGTTTTGACATATTTAGTCTTTGCTCTCATGTGATCTAAATGCAGAAGAGTTATCCACAATCCATCATCCACAGCCGTGCTTGTTGCAAAAGCACACGTCTCACTGCCACTTCCAGTCTCTGGTTGGTTGAGGATGTGCCTGAGATTCTGCTGAATCCAGAGAACCAGCTCGTGAACCATAGGTTCTGACACAAGGTTCTCCGCTTGCTCAAGTAACTTCTCCTTCACAGTCACACAATGGGCCCTGGTCAGGTGTTCCGAGTTAACCGAGATACCAGGCAGACACGAAGGGTAATTGACCGGTAAATGGAACACCAATTCTAAGGGTACATCCGCATCCATAAGTCCTTCAGCTTTTGTGCGAATTCTGAACACGGTCCCATCTGTCTCTGGAAGGCATCCAAAAGTAATGATTAGCTGCACATAATTCAATCTGAATGGAACACTAACAAGTTAAAATTTTTATTTCAAGTCTCAATTTATTTCTCACGTGAAAACTCTGAGTTGTTTTACGAAGAGACACATAATACTAAGAAAGCCCTGATTTATGAACTTCAACCTTCCTTCAACCACACACACATTCACGGATGCATGCACACCAGCACCCAGGACTTCGCTGGCATTTACACTTGCCAGCACCCCCAATTTTATTAAGGTTACCAGAAAGGTTTCTTGTCGTAAAATGTTTTTCCACCCAGACTTAGTTGATAATTCTGCAAATCCCTAATAAACTTATATGAACATTCAAAGAAACGGTATCCTGCATATATAAAATCAGTAATTAATTAAAAAGTTATACACTAAATCCAATGAAGGTCATTTTGCGGTAAGTCCAAATCGAAGCAAACCCCTGGAATCCTGCATGGTTGTAGGGCTGCAGAGAAACTCATGACTGTGCATGATACAGTAACTGCCTGGACCCGCTCTCTTCTTACTTCAAATATATTAGTATCAGTGTAACATGAAGGGAGCAAGATGAACTAAAATCGGGCGGACATCATTTCAGCCACTTCTGGCTCTGTAAGGAGGAGGGGCACCCACACATAGGATATGAGATGAAACACTCTGCTCTCTTTCAGATTTGCTCCACTTCACCCCTCTGATGTGTTCCACACCACTTCACCCCACTTTTCAAAAAGTTGATAAAACGTCAGGCTGATTCATTCTGCAGGAGGCAGAAACACACAGATCAGAAGAGCAGAGCAGAACAGGACTGGGTGCAGACGAATTGCTTTGAAGCTAACTTGCTTCTCTCCCCCGACTTCTTTGTCCACTCGTCCTTGTTCATTCTCTTCACAAGAGAGGCAGTCAAACCCTCCCATTTTCATACCTGGATTGCTGCTCAACAGCCTCAAGAACTGAAAGATGAACGTATCCCCATCTTAAAGAACCTAACAGAACATTAAAATGGCTTTCCAGCCATCTGACTCCATTTCTGTCAAAGCTGTTGTTACAGACATTGATTCACAGGACCAAACACATGTTACACAAGAGTTTTTTCTTCAACAGAATCTCCAGTTGCATTGAAGCAAAGCACTATTTTAAAACACCACCCTGAAACACAGGCAGTAACCATTATAAAGACCATATTAAAATGATACAACTTAAATTTGCATTACATAAGTAAAATGCGGACTGCATAAAGAAAAATTTTCCAAACCTAACTTAGTACACTCCTCTACAGTCCATCACTAGTTTCTCAAAACCCTTCTTTCTTCCACCCAGTTACTTATCCTTTTTAAAAACTATTTTATTATAAAGTAGGCTCCCCTATGTCAGTCAGATCAGTACATTTCACTATATGAAACGGGCATTATAAATAGACCTACAGACAACATATGACCATTAGGCTAAATAAATTTTCCAGAAATCATCTGGGGAGTCCACTTTTTCTCTCAAGGGGGAGGCATAACTTTAAAAGATCTTCGTTCATTCACCATTCAACAAACATTCACTGAGCCCCTACTTGGCCCAAGGCACTGAGCTGGTGTCTGAGGAAAAACAGTGGGTAAAACGCAGATCCGGTCATAAGGACTCAATCCAGCGTCTCACAACATGAAAGAGTGGGCATATCCAAAGTGATCTTCCTCGACTTCTCTTCTACACTTAAAAATTTCTTCATCTATAAACATATATGCATACAATTTATATAAACATGCACTTTATATTATCTCCATGGAGATAATTCTCCATGGGAATGGCATTTCTGAATATCTTCAGAGCAAAGGGTATTGAAAGCTTTGTTCAAGGGTATTTGCATAACAGACAACCTTAGAAGCCAGAGAGCTTCTCCCTCCAGATCAGAGGGCAGATTTGTTTCCAGACCAGTAGAATAAAGACAACATATTCCTTCAGGACAAAGGTGGGGCAGGATTGCTAGCAGCCCCCTTATAAGACTGGAGGCTTCCTAAGCTTAGCTGTGACAAAGATGCACTGTGTTCGCAGAATCCACGTGGGCCACCTCCACATCGCCCCATGGAACTTGGGGAACAAGGGGACCCAATGTGAGGCTGAAGTTCACGCTGCCTGCCGTGCAGTGAGTAATAAACTGTCTAAATCCACCTGGGCCCACTGCCTCCTGCCCGGCTGACACTATGGGAGTGTGCAGCGACCTAGCAGCTGCAGCCGACGCTGCCCCTTAGGAACTGCTTGACCCCGTGCCAACACGTACATTTTTTTTCACCATCTCGCTCTCTCCTTTTCACTCTTCTCTCTGAGCACAGCAAACCCTACCATCTCTAAGACACTGTTCCAATCATTAGCACTCTCTTGTGCCTGCCTTTTTTATCCCTCCCTCAAATCTTTGCTTCTCTTCCACTTACAAAATATTTATCTTCTTGCTTCAAAAAACCCAAAATCCAGTGCTACTCATTCCCTTACACTACAGACCTATCTTTCTCTGTCCTTCATTTTCAATCTTCTGGAAATATAAATCTCACCACCTGCATCCACGTTCCCATGAACTAGAAACCAGTCTCTCCACAACTACTTGTACTGTGACTTCCACCATCACTTTTCACTGAAGCTCCTTTCTCAAACACTACCCTTGCCCTCCCAAACACCGCCCTGCAGGAACAAGTTAATTCAGCAGGCCTGTGTTGCTCAAACCCTGCACACTCCCAAGGAAGGCCTGTCTTCAGGACTGGCCCTTGGCTGGCTCCTGGGAGATGAGCTCTGAGCCCTTGGCATATTCTGCCAGATAAGAGTGGTTTGGGTATACCCAAGGCCTAGGACCACAAGGTGCAAGTTTGATTAAAATTTATGGTGAATGTTCTTACTCTGGGGACTGGAGTCGGATTAGCTGAGGTCACTTATGCAGGCAGGGAAAGTCTACATGACTGACGCCCCATAAAAATTTGGACACCAAGGCTCGAGTGAATTTCCCTTGTTGGCAACACCCCTCACGTGTTGTCACACGCTGTGGCTGAGAGAACTAAGCATGTGGTGTGACTCCACGGGAAAAGGACACCTGGCAGCTTGTGTCTGGTTTCTCCTGGACTTCACTCCATAAGCCTTTTCTCTTTGCTGATTTTAGTGTGTCCTTTTGCTGTAATAAACTGTAACCACGAGTATACCAGCTTGTCCGAGTTCTGAGTCCTTCTAGCAAATCATCAAGGCTGAGGGTGGTTTGGGGGCCCGTGACACAGCCACATTCGGTGGCCTTCACCCTGCCCTACCTTTCCACAGCATCTGAATCTACTGAACCAATCTCCTCAAAATTCCCTCTTCCCATACCTCCCAGACACCACAGTGTCCTGGTCCTTTTCCTACATCTCTGATTATTTCAAAGCTTTTCCCAACCCCCAAATGCATAGCATTCTTTAAAGTGTAACCCCCTGAACAACTTGCTCATCCCAGTTACCCAAGCTTGAAATCTTAAAGTCACCTGTGACTCCTTGTTCCCCTTCTTGCTTCATACTTCATGTTCAATTGCCAAAGTTCTCCAGAATTTCTCTCCTTTCCATTCACAACCACCCTCCTAACTCAGGCCTTTCTCTGGTTTCTCTAACAGTGGGCTCCTCACCGCCTGGCTCTCCCCACACCAAATTACCCTATGCCACTCTCCCAGACTGACAAACAAATGACAAATTCCTCCACCGAACACCTAGAGCCAGACCACCACTCCACGTCCTCTCCCCTTACTCCTCGCTCCAACTAACCCATTTTACGCTGTGTCCTGAACACAGTCTCTGGTTTCCCGCCTTCAAGCCTTGCTCCTGCTGTCCTATCTGCCAAGAAGGCCCTTAACTCTCCACTTTCTGCCTACTGGGATCTTTGTTAACCACCAAAGCACCTCTCTAAAGCCTGGCTTGTGATTTCCATGGTACTTTGGACTTATTTTGTGGTATGTTCATACTCAGAATTATCATGGTTGAACCAAATTAACTATTTTCTTCACCACTGGAACACAGCTACACTCTTTTTAGACAACAACCAAAAAACAAAGCTTGTAATCATGGGACTCAAAGGTATAGAAGTCCTTGGTACCTGTGGTAGGCTACATGACGGCCCAAAGACATCCATGCCCTAATCCCCAAACCGTGATTACGTTACTTTACATGGCAAAAGGGCCTTTGCAGATGTGATCCTGAGAGGGAGGTTAACCTGGATTATCCAATGGGCCCTAAATGTAATCACAAGTGTTCTCACAAGAGGGAGGCAGAGGGAGACTTTACCACAGAAGAAGGCAATGTAATTGCTGGACCCAGATGCTATGCAGCTGGCTTTGAAGATGGAGACAGGGCCATGAGCCAAGGGGAGCAAGGAATGCAGCTCTAGAAGCTGGAAAAGGCAAGGAAATGGATCCTCCCCTAGGGGCCCCTAGAGGGAGCGCAGCCCTGGCAACTTGATTTCAGCCTGGTGAAACTGATGTCAGACTTCCGACCTCGAGAACTGTAAGGGAACAAATATGCGGTGTTTTAAGCCACTGCATTTGTGGTAATTTGTTACAGCAGCCAAAGGAAACTGATACAGTATCTGTGCCCACAAACAAGCTTTTCCCTTTCTGATCAAGACCCTGAAACCCAGTGTTCTCCAATCTCTGCCATATAAACACCCCCCTGTTCCTCCCCAGTGCAGTGAACTGACTGACAGAAACAGGCGATCCTGGGAGCAAGCCTTGAATGGCTATTGAGCTGGCCATTCAAATCCTTACCAATTTTCATTTTTCTTACTTATTTTCTCATCCTAGTCAGCAAATAGAAAAGCAATAGGAGAAAACCCTGACTTTTGCCTTAGAAAACTGTGAAATTATTAGTTATTTGTTTAGAAGAAAAACTGCTTTAATTCTTTTAAGAATTGGAAAGGATTAACATTCTTCCTAATTGGTCTTCTTCCTAATTGGTGACTCCTCGTCCCTCCCCCCCGACACACACACACACACACACACACTATAGCAGCAAACTAAAATTACACAAAATGATGCTATCTCTGTAAGAAAATGAAAAGCCCAATAACATACCCCATTCTGTTGATATTTAACGTGGTAATAAAATTACACATTCTTTTAAAAACTCAGTTTCTCCCTAAAACTCTAGAAGTATGTATATTACCCTTCCATTTCTTGTCTGCCTTAGTTTGTACACGCAATTAAACTGGCTCCTTTTCGCCTCAGAATTTTTTATGTAACACATGCATCGTCAGTCTTATATTGGGTTTGTTTTTTGGGTTTTTTTATTTAAAAAAAAAAAGAAAACAAAGTAGCCTCTATCTGTTTTAAGATTATTAACAGCTTAGAAACAGAGTGATTAACAGAAAACTAATTCTGCTCTACATCTAATGCTAATCTCTGTCCTTCCCTGGCCCCAAAAAACTCTTGTTATTAAGTTTAACTCACAAACTCATCATTCTCAACAAACAGTGATGCCCTAGGAAGCTTATGCCTATCCTAGACAACTAAAATTTTCATAAGTTCCAAGACTATTTTCATCTATTCTAAAGACCCTACCAAAAGGTGTAGATCTTGCCTCTGGTTGAAGTTCACATACACATTCCCTAGTCGTTTTGGGTTTTTTTGTAAGTCACTCTGCCTTATAACAAGTGTATCAACTTCATAACTAAAACACAAACTGAAATAGGTTTCAAACCTTATTCTTCCTTACAAGCACATGAAAGAAATTATCCTCCTAACCATACTCCAAACAACAGAAATTCAAACTAGAGAAACTGAACTAAACCCCAAACTCTACACTAATGTTATTTTCAGGTTTCACCCAGTTCGTAGTCACACACAATAGAAACTCAACAAATGCTGTCCAACAGCAGACGACACTGGAAAATGTAAACCAAATTTAAGAAAATGAGTTCTTCAAGATTCATTTAGAGCCCATTAAGAAATCATTTATATACCATATACAACTGACTTTCCCTAGACTTGCTTTTTTTTTTTGCACTTTTTTAGATCTACTGAGAGTAAGACTTGGTGCAGAAAACTACTAAGAAGCTTCAATCACCCTCTCATTCTTCATGTGCACAGGATTTTCTTTCCTCTTGCTCCTAGGGGGCTCACCATAAGTATGTATCCACTAGGGCTTGTTATTATGTTTCAGCTGCATTTTTATATATATTAAAAATGTGGTTACAGAAAAAAAAAACTAAAAATACATGAAGTTAAAGTGGCAATCCCATCCTTTAGAAGTGAAGTTCAAGGCCGAACTGGTTTTGCAGAGGTGAGTTCAGTACTGACAAGCAGCAGGAAACAGAGCCGAGCAGATTGAGAGGGGTCAGTGGGTGACAGTCACGATTCATTTTGCAAGAGGGCCCAATCCAATCTGAGCATTAGTGTTAGCAGAATACAAAAATTCACTCTGAAGCTTCTGTGCAAACAAATTATACGATATTGGGTCTTACATGCTTCCCATTTTACAACTTTTTGTTCTGTGAGTTAATTTCTAGAAATGCAACTCCATGTATAATGAGCATTGACCATGGCAATATAATCTCTGTGACCCTCAATCACCTTATCAGGAAAATGAAGATTTATAACAATAGCAATCTCATCTATCTCATAGGTACACACACATACATGCACACACTCCCCTTCAGAATTATCTTGAACATAAGTTGGGTCATACCCATTTATTTCTCTGGGTGCTTATCATTGCTCTCTCTTTCTGGACAACTGTTTTTCTTGCTCTCTAAGAACTCTTTTCCTGACGCAGGAGCCCCATCTCTATTAAGGAGCATGATGCAGTGCAAGGGTCCACACACTCTGGAACCTGGTGGTTACTTATCCAGCCTGAGCATCCATTAGCTTCTCTGTAAAATAAAGCTAAGAGCACCCCTCATCAAGTAAGATGCATTTAAAAGGGTAGGTGACCCCATTAAATCTGGCACCTGGCCTGACTGCACTGCACAGAGAGGGGCAGAATCCCCTAATCTGGTC